GGCGAATCCTCCAAGACCGGCAAATCTGCCGGTAACGGCGGCGGTGCCGGCATATCATGGATGCAGAAAAGTCTATAGAAGAAAAAATATCAACAGCCAATCGACGGCTAGCGAGCAGAGACTAAAAATAGGCACCCACGTGTGTGTACAAAGTCTGTCAAGGTTAGTCACCCGCACTGTGTTGGTTATGACGTAGATGGTACCTGAAAGTAGATTGGTAGATGTCAGTTGTAATTAGATGATAAGTAGATATACATACTACATGAGTAGTGAGTATATATAGTAATTATATGATTAGTAATAATGCATGGGACATAATACATAATATTGTTGCTACAAATTATATTTACCACAATAATTACCACTATTAAAAAAAACTTAAAATAGTTTGATTACTTGTAATTTAAAAAAAAAAATTTTTTTTTAAAGGGTTTACAAAACGGCTAAAAAGACAATTAAAGGGACTTAACCGTGAAAATGAATTATGTGTAAATATTTAAAAGGATTGCTTCCCCTACTTCAAACTTGTAATTTTTAATTTATTTTTATAATACTGACGTTGCAGCTAAAGAAGGATATAGTTATGAGAAAAATTAACTTTGTTGCCATAACGATTCCAATTTCAGTGATTTATCAGATTATTTGAATGTGATTTCTCGCTTACCATTATTGGCAGTAATAATGCATTTAGCCTTGCATGGACCTACCGCAAAATATAATTAAGTATTTACGCTGAACCTACCGCTAAATATACATAAGTATTCTGGCTGAACCTACCGCTAAATATAATTAAGCATTCAGCTGAACCTACCGCTAAATATAATTAAGTATTTAGGTTGAATCTACCGCTAAATATAATTAAATATTTAGGCTGAACCTACCGCTAAATATAATTAAGTTAGTGGGCTATCATGAACCTACCGCTAAATATAATTAAGTATTTAGGCTGAACCTACCGCTAAATATAATTAAGTTAGTGGGCTATCATGAACCTACCGCTAAATATAATTATGTTAGTGGGCTATCATGAACCTACCGCTAAATATAATTAACCTACCGCTAAATATAATTAAGTTAGTGGGCTATCATGAACCTACCGCTAAATATAATTAAGTATTTAGGCTGAACCTACCGCTAAATATAATTAAGTTAGTGGGCTATCATGAACCTACCGCTAAATATAATTATGTTAGTGGGCTATCATGAACCTACCGCTAAATATAATTAACCTACCGCTAAATATAATTATGTTAGTGGGCCATCATGAACCTACCGCTAAATATAATTAACCTACCGCTAAATATAATTATGTTAGTGGGCTATCATGAACCTACCGCTAAATATAATTATGTTAGTGGGCTATCATGAACCTACCGCTAAATATAATTATGTTAGTGGGCTATCATGAACCTACCGCTAAATATAATTATGTTAGTGGGCTATCATGAACCTACCGCTAAATATAATTAACCTACCGCTAAATATAATTATGTTAGTGGGCTATCATGAACCTACCGCTAAATATAATTATGTTAATGGGCTATCATGAACCTACCTCTATATATAATTAAGTATTCTGGCTGAACCTACCGCTAAATATAATTAACTCTTAAGCAGTAGCGTAGCGAGGGGGGGGGCGGGGGGGGGACATATGTCCCCGGGGCGCCCCGACCTTAGGGGGGGGCGCCAAATTGAAAGTTTGAGGGGGGGGGGGTGCAAATGAAAAGTTCGAGGGGGGGGGTGCAAATCGAAAGTTTGAGGGGGGGTGCAAATGAAAAGTTCGAGCGGGGGGGGGGGGGGGGGTGCAAATCGAAAATTTGCTCCCAAGGGGGCGCCAAATTGAAAGTTTGAGGGGGGGGGGGGTGCAAATGAAAAGTTCGAGGGGGGGGTGCAAATCGAAAGTTTGAGGGGGGTGGTGCAAATGAAAAGTTCGAGCGGGGGGGCGGGGGGGGGGGTGCAAATCGAAAATTTGCTCCCAAGGGGGCGCCAAATTGAAAGTATGTCCCCGGGCGCCGGGAAGGGTCGCTACGCCTCTGCTCTTAAGTATTTAGGCTGAACCTACGCTAAATATAATTATGTTAGTGGGCTATCATAAACCTACCGCTAAAAATCAGCAGGAACGAAACAAACAAGACATTGGCCATCAGGCACCAGACGTCCCGGAGGTTTTTCGTCTGCCCACAGAATGACACCAGGAGGGACATGATGGCAGGCAGCAGAGACAGGATCCCGCCCAGCAGGTGGTAGTAGGGCAGCAGGTACAGTCCCAGACACCCGCCGTCTGCACTGATGGAACCTGGGGACGGATGGGACCTGGTTATGGTGGTTATATGGGACATGGTTAGGTGGTTACATGGGACCTGGTTAGGTGGTTATATGGGACATGGTTAGGTGGTGATATGGGACATGGTTAGGTGGTTACATGGGACATGGTTAGGTGGTTACATAGTATCTGGTTATGGTGGTTACATGGAACCTGGTTAGGTGGTGACATGGGACATGGTTTGGTGGTTATATCAGACCTGGTTATGGTGGTTACATGGGACATGGTTAGGTGGTTACATAGTATCTGGTTATGGTGGTTACATGGAACCTGGTTAGGTGGTGACATGGGACATGGTTTGGTGGTTATATCAGACCTGGTTATGGTGGTTACATGTGACCTGGTTATGGTGGTTACATGTGACCTGGTTATGGTGGTTACATGGGACCTGGTTATGGTGGTTACATGGGAACTGGTTATGGTGGTTATATGGGACCTGGTTATGGTGGTTACATGGGAACTGGTTATGGTGGTTAGATAGGACCTGGTTATGGTGGTTACATGGGAACTGGTTATGGTGGTTATATGGGACCTGGTTATGGTGGTTACATGAGAACTGGTTATGGTGGTTAGATAGGACCTGGTTATGGTGGTTACATGGGAACTGGTTATGGTGGTTAGATAGGACCTGGTTATGGTGGTTACATGGGAACTGGTTATGGTGGTTATATGGGACCTGGTTATGGTGGTTACGTGGGACATGGTTTGGTGGTTACATGGGACCTGGTTAGGTGGTGACATGGGACCTGGTTAGGTGGTGACATGGGACCTGGTTAGGTGGTGACATGGGACCTGGTTATGGTGGTGACATGGGACCTGGTTAGGTGGTGACATGGGACCTGGTTATGGTGGTTACATCGGACCTGGTTATGGTGGTTACATGGAACCTGGTAAAGTGGTTACAATATGGGACCTGGTTATGGTGGTTACAAATGTGGGACCTGGTTATAGTGGTTACAAATGTGAGACCTGGTTATAGTGGTTACAAATATGGGACCTGGTTATGGTGGGTACAAATATGGGACCTGGTTGTTGCATCAACGAACATCTTTAACAGATCTAATTTTAATACATTTTCTAAATAGGTTTATTTCACGTATGTGTATTACATTTAACTCTAGCTCATCAGTTTTCACATTGAAATCTTTACAAATATATTTAGCGACCAACTCTTTCTTTTTTAATTAAGTTAATGCAAATGTTGGTGTTGTTTTGTTGCTGTTGATGGGTGTTTTTTTTTTTTTTTTTTTTTTTTTTGTTTTTTTTTTTTTTTTTTTTTTGTGTGCACTTATAAAGACTTGTTTTATGGAGACTGCTGACAGTTACAACAAAAAGGTCCGTGCTATTACTGTAGGTTTTACGGTAAACACAAGAAAGTCATACAAGTATATAATGTTGATGGATTCTTATCGTAGATGATGTAGATTTTATCTCATAGGCAGAGCATAGCGAAACTTACCAACAACAATCTTCACAACGCCAATCACAGAGAGGATGAGTAGCCAGGATACTGCGGGAATAATCAACAACGTTAATTAGCTCATTAAGTCAATTAGCTATTAATAAATAAGTAAAATATAATTAACAGATAACTTGATCATGATTATAACTGACGTCATTTTTTTTTTTACTGACGTCATGATCAATTTATTTAACAAAACGAACTATTTAATTAAAGTTTATATTTATCAATTCTTTTTAATACGTTTACCTTACAACTAATCAGAACTTAGTGTAGTAGCTAGTGTTAATTACAAATCAATAACTGGCGGATCTGTTTCAAGGTATTAACATCGACACATACGCGGTTCAGTAGCGTAGCAAGGGGGGGGCGGGAGGGGGGGGGGGGACATATGTCCCCGGGCGCCGAGCTTAGGGGGCGCCAAAATGGGTTGGAAAAATAAATTGAAAGGTTGAGGGGGGCGCAAATTGAAAGTTTGAGGGGGGGGGGTGCAAATCAAAATCTCGAGGGGGGGGGCGCAAATTGAAAGTTTGAGGGGGGGGGTGCAAATCAAAATCTCGAGGGGGGGTGCAAATCGGAAGTTTGAGGGGGGGTGCAAATCGAATTCTCGAGGGGGGGGGGGTGCAAATCGAAAAGTTTGTCCCCGGGGCGCCGGGAAGGGTCGCTACGCCTCTGACGCGGTTCAGTTTTAACTGAACAATTTTATCTGTTTTAATGTTCCGTTTCACCGCGTTTACACTTGCGACATGTATGCTATACATGTCTAGAAAAAAAAAACTTCGCAATAAGTGAGTAGGCTCCCCTATTATCTTAGGCCCTATAGCGAAGTTTTTTTTTCTAGACATGTATAATATACATGTCGCAAGTGTAAACGCGGTATTAGCTCATGTGAGGCCTTACATTGTGTCGCTAGGTTGGTGTTCTAGTCAAAACTGTACTGTATTTAACTAAAATGCAACGAAACTAATTAAGGTAAACATACATGTAACATTAGCACATAATATGACAAATTAATGTAAACATGAACTAAAACACCACTAAACAAATGTGAACTTAAACACTATGGGACAAATAAATGCGAAAATAATACATACATAGAGGTAAACAAATTAATATGAAAATAAGCTTACACAATATTACAAAAAATTGTGTGAACATAAACTACCTTTATTAAACAAATTAGTTTTGGAGATAAAACTACCAATATTTGACATTCATATACACACTGGCACACAAATCAATATATAACTAGCCTCACGCACTTAGACAAGTCAATGTGTAAATAGCCTTACACACTTAGACAAATCAATGTGTAAATAGCCTCACACACTTAGACAAGTCATAGGCGTAGCGAGGGGGGGGGGGGGGGGGTGGCGGGGGGTGCGGACCGCACCGGGTGATACCTTTTAGGGGGGGTGACACCAAGGCAAAAAATAGCAAAATATACAGAGAAAAATTTGAGGGGGGTGCAAATCGAAAGTTTGAGGCGGGGGGAGTGCAAATCGAAAATTTGAAAGTTTGTCCCCGGGAAGGGTCGCTACGCCTCTGGGGGGGGGGGGGTGACACCATTAAGTGCCGCACCGGGTGACACCCGACCTCGCTACGCCACTGAGACAAGTCAATGTGTAAATAGCCTCACACACTTAGACAAGTCAATGTGTAAATAGCCTCACACACTTAGACAAGTCAATGTGTAAATAGCCTCACACACTTAGACAAGTCAATGTGTAAATAGCCTCGCACACTTAGACAAGTCAATGTGTAAATAGCCTCACACACTTAGACAAGTCAATGTGTAAATAGCCTCACACACTTAGACAAGTCAATGTGTAAATAGCCTCACACACTTAGACAAGTCAATGTGTAAATAGCCTCACACACTTAGACAAGTCAATGTGTAAATAGCCTCACACACTTAGACAAGTCAATGTGTAAATAGCCTCACACACTTAGACAAGTCAATGTGTAAATAGCCTCACACACTCAGACAAATAAATGCGAAAGTAAACTCATTCTCTGAAATCTATGTGAAAATAAACTAATTCACTATTCGACAAATCAATGTGAAAATAGACTCATAATCTCTTAGACAAATCACTGTGAAAAATGACTTACACATTTATAAACAAATCACAGTGAAAATAGTTTTACACTATTTGACAACTCAGTGTGAAAATAGACTCATACGCTGTTAGACAAATGAATTTTAAAGTAAACTCATGCACTGTTAGACAAATAAATTTGAAAATTAACTTATACAATTTTAGACAAATAAATATGAAAATACACTCACACACACACATCAATGTGAAAATTGACTAATTCACTTTCAGACTAATTATAGAAATCGTTGTGAAAATAGACTTACACACTAGTAGTTTGCTTCTGATGCCATACCGCGGCTCTGGCTGTGAAAATAAAAATCAGTTGACTGTTAACCCGTTAATCCGGCTTTAGTTTAAATGGTTTTCATTAGAATACAACATGATAACCTCCCCTCCCGTGAATCTTGAGTTATAACAGAGTCTGCAGACCGAACCATAGTATGTTTAAGTATAGTTGGCTCCAATTAGTTTCTAGTTCTAATCATTTTCAAAAATTTTAATTTTATCATTAAATTCTAGCAATGTGTAAAACAGTTCCCACTGTTTGATCTTTTGTAAGACGTCCCTTTATTAAGGGGATCCAAAATTTAATCACATATCCAAATAATCACCATGCTGATCCCCAAATGTCATCAAAATTGAATAGAAATACGGTACAATAAGGCTATCGTTTTTAGACTTTCAAACAAAAACTAAAGTTAAATATTCAATAAGTAAAATATATTGTTTTCACAAGGTTACATAGCTAATATAAAAGATTTATTATAATTATAATGTAATGAAATTTAGAGCGTTTTATTGTGTTTTTCAAACATGTTTTAGTTACAATGGGTTAATTTAGCTATTCTTGTGAAAGTTATTTCCCTTGAATAAACTTTTGTTATTTGGATTTTCAAATGGCAGATAATTCGTTGCTTAACTTGACATTCGTTTCAAATTCCTGCACCTTAGGTTGACCGCATACATATAAATACAACTTAAAGTTATTATTGGCCTTGGCTATTGCAAAAACTATATAGAGCTTAAGTTCTATACAAAATAGTTTGGTAGGTTTTTTTAGCACTATCAAGTTGAAAAACAAATGCATCAGTAGCCGTTGTAGATTGCAATACTTAGTGTTAGTAGACATACAGTCTTAGTCGTAAATTAAACATTAAATTAATTGTCTTTTCATATTTTTCACCCTCTCCTAAAGGATTCATGTATAACAATTTTAGGCTGGAATCTGTAACATTTATAACCTTTTATTTTTCAAAAAAAAAATCGATACACAGTCACACAATATAGACATTTTACAATCCTAATATATAAAAGTTATAACTAAAGACAGTCAAGCTTAAAACAGGTAAGTTCCGTTTTGGAGCTCACCTTGGGAGGACTGCAGAGAGCCCAACACTACAAGAACTTTTTTTTCAGTGGTTTTTAAACCAGACTTTTTTCTCCCGAGGGGGGGGGGAAGGAGCTATTAAAATTTTCAAGGGGGGGGGGCTATGTCATAAAGTACAAATTGGACTTGTGGACTTACGACTTGCGCTTATTAACTGGAATTGAAGGAAAAATGTACAAACTTTTGAGACAAAGGAGGCAAGTAAAATTTGACTTTGAAGTCTACTTATAAGGTGTATGCAATTGATAATAAATTGATATGTCTCTTTTAATTAATTGTTTTCTTATACATTTGTTTTAGTAATTAATTTGTATGAAAGGGGGCGTTTTAATAAGTTTTGCCTAGGGCGCTAATAACCTGGCGCCGGCATTGACCGGCATACACGTAGTGTCACGTAGCCTATATATATATATATATATATATATATATATATATATATATATATATATATATATATATATATATATATATATATATATATATATATATATATATATGCTGGGCGTCGGGTGATCTGTAATGGAGCTTTTATATATGTTTTATAAAATGTAAAGTTTCTCTTTAAACCCAGTGATCCATTGGACATATGAAATAGAATTCATGTTAATTGGCCTACGCTCATAAATGGACATTACTATGCCCAGCCGCCTTTGTTTTCCCCAATGTAAGTTAGGTACCCATCAGAGCTGGGTAGACTCAGGGACGCCCTACAGTCACAAGACCGAACCGAGATCCAAACTAGAGACCTTCGGGCTAGCTTCCAAACGCTCTATCATTCGACCAGGCCGTCCCATAATTGTATCATTGTGGTACTAAAGTAATGTATGATCTTCCGAAGGTGATGATTACATTTCTTTAGTGTGATTTATTACACACCGTATCTAATTAGACAAACTTACTAAGTTGGAAAACACCACACAAAATATAAGCATACGTACAACGCTAATAGATCGGTAGGTTATTTACATTTAAAAAATATAACCGGCAGTAAACATTAATTATTGATTAATACCAAAATCTCTTTTTCACCGTATAAATAAACATGTAATATGGAAAATTATAACTGACAAAGCGAACTGACAGTTTTTTGTGTTTTGGCCTGTATAAAAAAAGTTTATTAACACTGGTGACTGTAAACCAACTGGTGCCAAGACCACGCCTACTATATATATATATATATATATATATATATATATATATATATATATATATATATATATATATACATATACATATATATATATATATATATATATATATATATATATATATATATATATATATATATATATATATATATATATATATATATATATTTAGCCGATAGATTATATAGTTAATTTATAAAGTATATATGTATGTTTGTGTGTGTGTTCGTGTGTGTTCGTGTGTGTGTGTTTGGTCCATACTTACCATCTTGCTTCTTTAAGATACCAGTAAGTGGTCGTTGTGGTAGCTATACCTCACATTTCATTTTGTTAATCCTTTATCCGCTAGTAAATCTTGACTCTGGATAATCTCACAGATCCTCGGTGCATTTATTCAACGGAAGTCTAATCATATTAATCCATCGTCCAGTTAATCTTCTCTGTGGGTAATCGTATTAATCCAGTGTAAAACTTCTTCCAAATTTTTCTTACCCCTTTTCGAACAACCTTAAACACAGTAGACCCTATCTGACAGCACTGAGGTATATCCTAACACTCAAAACCCTCTTACAGTCGAAAGTCAGTATTTTGTTTCGTAGAGCCAACACGGCCCCGCGCGCAGTTTTTAAATTCCCGAGTGAACATACGCCCAGCAATCTACGACCACTAAAGGCATTTCTTAACCCGTCTAGCGACCCAACACACACCGATCAACAACACATTGAAAAATCGATTCGTCTAACACATGAAAGGGCCCACGCGTTTCATACGATAAGCGAGTGACGTCGCCAAAGCCGAATTTATTATTTCCATAAAGATTTTTTTCTCCCCCCACCCCTTCCCCGTACCTGCTCTTTACAAGTAAGATTTATTGCGCCCTGATTAGCATATGACCTTGACCTGAACTTGTAACACGTGAATATGCTACAAGGTGTACACAGCAAGTGTGAGCATGCCACACAGAGAATGTTTGCTTTAAAATTATTGGATTATAAGATAGGCTTTAGAAATCAATAAAAAAATTATTGTTATATGTAACTGTATGCGATATGATTTGTTAATCAATCACTAGCATTCCCGATCAGATCGTTAGACTGCGTCTTTCAGAGGGTTTCTGTCATCACTATTACTTTCAACAAAAAGTATCACCTTTTATATATATATAAATATATATATATATATATATATATATATATATATATATATATATATATATATATATATATATACATATATATATATATATATATATATATATATATATATATATATATATATATATATATATATATATATATATATATGGGCCCTGTATACATATATAAAGACACTATATATATTTATATAGACACTACGTCCACAACATTGCTTATGGTGAGAGTTTCTTGCATTGTTAGGATTAGTGTAGATTTGTCGATTTGTAAAAGACTCTCTCTCTCTAGTTTTCATCACAGCCCAAATACAAAACGAAATTCTTCCTTCCCCCCCTTCCTCCCCAACCCATTACCCGCCCCAGTTCCGTTAACGCATGAAATATCGAAATCATCCAAAATTAATTTTCTTTTCGTTTAGTTCTAATCATACATATGCACCTAAGAGAATGTAGCAGGATGTCGCTTAGCCATACCTATATATTTGAAAAAAAAAGCTAGTATTTCCCATAGCCAGCAACCAAACGCTAACTCTAGCTTCAACCTTTAACCTGCTCATTAAGTTAAAGTATCGATATCGGCGCCAGCCGCTGTATAAATAAGTGGGCGTGGCTAATCGATGACACCCAATATTTGTCAGCGTGCACTCAATCTTGTGTTTAGACCAAACCACAACAATCCCGGTGGACATTTCTCGAAGCTCTCACCCCCCCCCCCCCCCGACACACGCACCACCCCCACTACGTCATAACGACGCTTAAATCCAATATAACCCACCCAAGTCTATTAATCAAGGGGGTCGAAACCTATCTGATCAAAGAAGTCTCCACAAGGCTAACAAAAAAAAACTTCAATTTCAATTGACTGGAGTAGTAAACTAAAGTAAATAAATTGAGAGGGCCAATAACTCCCTTTGATGTCGTAATACGAGCCTTGACAGGAGATTATTTCATTAATATTTAGGGGCTTACACTAGCTTTCTTAGATAAACATTTTATATATGGTCTATGTCAGTGGTTCCCAACCTTTTTCGAGTGGCGACCCCTTTTATAAAAAGTAAGTGACCCGCGACCCCCATAGAATTAAAAAGCCGAAATTAGTATGGGCATTAATAAGCACTAAAATAAGATTTTCTAGTAGACTTTCAATATGAACTACTCTTGATAACTGTTTTAATAGCATGATTAAAATTGTATACTATTCACTAAACCTTCGTGGTTAATTTTTTAATTAAAATTTTTTGTTAACGCCAACCTATGTCATTATAATTATCTTAATTTTGTTTTTAATCGAAGAATAGTGTTGAAAATCTATTATCGAAAAGTCAATCAATTTTACGTTTGGGTATGAATGGTGAATACTACACCAAAATTGTGTCTGCAGTTTTTCATCTTACTCGGAATCATTCTGCAAATCAAAGAATTCATCTTGCAATTCATCGGGAATGCTGGCAACATCAAGGGAAGAAGAGAATGGGTAATGCGTAAATGCAGATTCTTCTTTTTTCAGCTCAGCGAAATAGCTTCTTTCAAAATTTTAATTATCTCACGGTCAGATTCATCTACCACACCGCAGAGTTTCTCAAATTTACAATATTTCCAAGATTTATTTTCTTTACCGATTTTGCAGTTTTGATAAAAATGCCCCGAGATTATCATGGAAAGTTATAATGCTCGTTCATTTTCCCTGAAGCTTCAGGTTAAGCTTATCAATAAAAATGTGTTATTTAACATTTACGTACATGCAAGCAGCGTTTGATGAGATTTTCTCCTATTGTTTTTTTTTTTTTTTTTTGCTTGGCATTTTCTATCGCGACTTCATTTGATGCTTGCACTAATGCTGGTGAAAACTTCCTGTTCGATCAAGTCTCTGGCGTTTGCAACTAGCTTCTTACCGACGAAAGAACTCCATATATTTTTTGGTGTGTTCCGAATGACTTTTTAGTTTTGAAGATTTCATAGATTCGTGACTGAGAACAACTTTATATAGTGCGCTTTGTTTCTTCTCTATTACATTTCCAGTGATGTTAATGAAGCCGAATTTCAAAAATTCTTCTAAATATTTATGTTTTGTTTCAAATTACTAAGGTTTAGTATACCAGTTGGCGACCCCCCAGAAAGACCTTCGCGACCCCCAGGGGGGTCGCGACCCCCAGGTTGGGAACCCGTGGTCTATGTTATAGCTTGATATGAATCTATGACCTGTGCATGTGTTGATTGGTGATTGGGGGGGGGGGGGAGGAAGGAGGTTCAATCCATGGAGACTTACGACAAAAATCAGGCTTATATTCCAATGTGACGTCAGAGATCTAGCGACCCATTCCGGCGCCGAGGCCGAACCCCCCCCCCCCCCCTTACTTCAATTAGGAAATGTATGGGGCGCTTTTTTTTAACACTCACTGTCACTTCACTGTTTTTACATTCCCGGACCAGTGCCAATAAAAAGTCCGTGAGTTCACTCAGCACTGTTGGGTACCTGATCCGAGTTGGGTGAAATAAACTAACACTTGCCAAATTATCCTTTCGTAAGGCGAAGTCACGGAAACAGAAGAACTCTACATTACCTGCCTTGTTGACCGTTAGTTTCAAACGGGTATCTATACGCATTTTTAATGTGACTTTAGGAGAACTTGAAAACTGTCACTAGGCCGTTCAATACGACAGCCATTAGTTTAATTGGGGGGGGGGGGGGGGAGGAATATTTGCATACATTATGATAATGTACCCAAATATTGAAGACCTAAATGCCACTTCGTAATAACACGTTTATGTACGTAAACTATCGCTTTTGTCAAGGTATAATAACACGTCTATATAGGTAAACTCACTTTATCACAGTATAATAACACGTCTATATAGGCAAACTATCGCCTTTTCACGGTATAATAACACGTCTATATAGGTAAACTATCGCTTTTTCACGGTATAATAACACGTCTATATAGGTAAACTATCGCTTTTTCACGGTATAATAACACGTCTATATAGGTAAACTATCGCTTTTTCACGGTATAATAACACGTCTATATAGGTAAACTATCGCTTTTGTCATGGTATAATAAAATAACACGTTTATGTAGGTAAACTACTTTATCTCGGTTTAATAACACACATCTTGTTATATATAATAGCACGCTTATACTTATATAGGTAAATACTCTCGATTCGACCACCACACACACGTACATGTTCAATAGACATAACGGCGCTACATGTTGCACAACACCCAGAATTTTCCACTCCTAAGTCTAGACCACCCACAATCCTTGTAAAAAAAAGGTAGACCTACAAGCCATTAAACCAAATTAGGCGCATAATTTTTTTTTTTCTTTTCACCAGGCTGTTTCTCTAAAATGTGTAGCCCCGGTAGAATAATGTCATTAATGTCTGTCTAATGATAATTTTAAAGTCACGGAATATCCTATCACGTGATTTTATCAAACAGGCCTGGTATTGAGACCTTAGTGCTCCTTTTCAAAGGCAAAGTATCGCCGTACAGCGTTGCTGTAAAAAAAAAAAAATTTCGTTGCTGGTTTTTTTTTTAAATAACGGGCCTCATTAGCATATGAATGTTATCTCCGCAGTTCGAATACCCAAAAACTTTCGTGTCAGTCACAGAGCGCGGATGAATACATAAGTCGAGATTAGGCAAACTTGGCTGGAAACTTTAGTCTGCCAGACGTAGAGACAGGCCCAAGTTTGGCAGCACAGATCTAGCACTGGGCAAACAAGCGGTGCGCCATGACGTCGTGAGGTGGAAGGTAAACTGTTAGATCAGTCACAACTCCTGGTCAAAGGTGACAGTTGGGTGCCGTACTTAGTGGCCTGTGGTGGGGCAGAGTTCGGTATAAGTTAGTGACCGAGGGTTCGGTACAAGTTAGTAGTCTTTGGTGGGGCCGAGGGTTCGGTACAAACTAACGGCCTATGGTGGGGCTGGGGGTTCGGTACAAACTAGTGGCCAATGGTGGAGCAGAGGGTTCGGTACAAGTTAGTGGCATATAGTAGGGCAGAGGGTTCGGCACAAGCTAGTGGCCTATTGTAGGGCAGCGGGTTCGGTACAAGTTAGTGGCCTATTGTAGGGCAGAGGGTTCGGTACAAGTTAGTGGCCTATTGTAGGGCAGAGGGTTCGGCACAAGCTAGTGGCCTATAGTAGGGCAGAGGGTTCGGCACAAGCTAGTGGCCTATAGTAGGGCAGAGGGTTCGGCACAAGCTAGTGGCCTATAGTAGGGCAGAGGGTTCGGCACAAGCTATTGGCCTATAGTAGGGCAGAGGGTTCGGCACAAGCTAGTGGCCTATAGTAGGGCAGAGGGTTCGGCACAAGCCTTTGGTGGGCCAAGGGTTCAGTGGGGCTGAGGGTTCAGCGCAAGCTGTAAATACTAGTGTTACCTGTGTAGTCTTGCACACCAGTATTTTATCAATAGGAAACCCTAAATCGCATGGATTTTGTAGAATCCCCTCCAAAATAGCAGACATTTGATGATAACAAGAAATAAAAAGAGTCAACAGTAGTGTTTTACAACTTCCAAAACAACTCACAGAAGAGCAGAAAACTACTACAATGAAAAATCTACTGAAACAGCATAAACAACTATTCAATTACATGCAATAAAATAAAAACAATACTTTTGAAATTATCTTAATTTTTATTTTTGAAGATCTTAGTTTTCTTGATCTGTTTTTTATTGTTGTATCCAGCAAAGGATGGGTTTCTGCCTTGTCTGCTTTTACTGTTGATCACATCTACAGCTGTGGTCAAGGATAAAACGCAAGTATATTTTTTCACAACACGTTAACACAAAACAACCATTTCTTTAAACAAGACAACATCAAACCCATATTACAAACAAAACAACCAATACATTAAAGCTTTCTGTCTCAGTAAATGTTTCAAGATAATTCTTGCTATATCATTCATTTAAATAAACCGGGAGTGATCTCCCCCTAAACTTTCTCAAATATTCTTATATAACACTACGGTTGATGGCAACTCTGGATATAGACATGATTTTTAATTACTTAAATTTTTTAAAATAGAATAGAATCTCGTAGAAAAAAGAACTCCACACCAAGTGAACGCAAAATAAAATGTGTATAATAGTGCGGAATATTATTAGTAATTTATAAATTCACATGCGTTTTTTGAGAAATCGGAAATAGCGAAAATTATTACTTCCCATCAACGGAAATTACTCAAAATTTGACAGAAGGTAGAAATTTAGATCTTTTACTTACATGTGAAATTTCATTTATCTATCTAAAATAGCACTCAAGTTATAGGATTTTGAAAAATTTAAAGTAGAAAAAGTTCCACTTCCGGTTATCGGAAATCGCTCAAAAGTTGAAAGGGATCTACGAATTTGATATAATACTTATATATGAAATTTCATTAACCTAGATGTAACGGTAACAAGTTATCATGTTTACAGACACACACACACACAGACCAGATTGAAAAACTATGTTTTTCCAACTCAGAGAGGTGTAAAATGCCGAGATTTGCAAAAATCTTTTTTTTTTTTGCACAATTACAAGATTTTCTATACTTCGTATAAACAGGAAAGTAAAAAAGGATACGGAGGTCAACATGTGGGGCCACAGCAAAACCAAAAGATTTGGCCGACTTGGTGATGTCTAGCTTGGCCACGTCAAAGATGGCCTTCTGCTTATGTGAGGCGTAGGCTCTTATGTAGGCTTTGAATCCTTCTTGTGCAGTTTTGTGGAGATAGAAGTTTTTGCTGATCAGCTTCTCCAGCTGGTAAAATTTTTTTTTAATAAAATGTTATTTGACTTGTTTTAGGAGCAAATAATTAAAAATGTAATTTCACTAGTGTTTTATGAGCAAAAATAATAATTAAAATGTAGCGTCACTGCTGTTTTATGAACAAATATACTAAATACTTAAAATGTAATTTCATTGTTGTTTTATGAAAATAATACTAAATGATTAAAATCGAATTTCACTGTTGTTTTATAAATAAAATGCCCAATAATTAAAATGTAATTTCCTTTTTGTTTTATAAGCAAATATACTAAATAATTAAAATAAAGCTAAGCAATGCCCCTCTATTAGAGCCATATCATACAACTGATGCCTATTTCTGATTGAAGCCCAAAAGCCTACTTGCTACTGAGACCCTATAAAACAACAAAAGCCTACTTGCCGCTGAGACCCTATAAAACAAAAGCCTACTTGCTGCTGAGACCCTATAAAACAACAAAAGCCTACTTGCCGCTGAGACCCTATAAAACAACAAAAGCCTACTTGCTGCTGAGACCCTATAAAACAACAAAAGCCTACTTGCCGCTGAGACCCTATAAAACAACAAAAGCCTACTTGCTGCTGAGACCCTATAAAACAACAAAAGCCTACTTGCCGCTGAGACCCTATAAAACAACAAAAGCCTACTTGCTGCTGAGACCCTATAAAACAACAAAAGCCTACTTGCCGCTGAGACCCTATAAAACAACAAAAGCCTACTTGCTGCTGAGACCCTATAAAACAACAAAAGCCTACTTGCCGCTGAGACCCTATAAAACAACAAAAGCCTACTTGCTGCTGAGACCCTATAAAACAACAAAAGCCTACTTGTGGTTGTATATTGGCCACTTTGCTCCACTGAAACTGGAACTCGTTGACTTGAACCTTGGCCATTCGTAGATAACGTAAGAAGGCCAGTTCTTGTGGGTTAAGGAACAACAAGGCATTACCACGGCCGCCTTCTCCTCTAGCAGTTCGTCCCACACGATGAATGTATTCCTATGTAAGCAGAAAACAAACTTTTAGCCCATGCAAAGATATCTAAGCACTGGAATTTTCAACATACATATAATTTGCACTTAAACACTTTTTAGTTATTAAAAAGACCCTATAGACAAGAAATTTTTAAATTTTTCAAAAAAAGTTTCAAAAAAATTATGAAACGAATGTCCTTTGAAAAATGCAAACTACTGAAAATAATTTGTTGACACTAGTTTTAAATTTTAAAAGTATCCTAATTGACTGAACAAAATAAAACACTGAAAATATCTGTCTAGATAACTGGACACAGCACTGACCTTAGGGTCATCTGGAGGATCATACTGGATGATCCAGTCCACCTGTGGTATATCAAGTCCTCTGGCTGCCACATCAGTACACAACAGGGTCCCACTGTCAGCATTACAGAACTGGAAGAAGGTCTGTGTTCTCTTTGTCTGCTTCTGTTTGCCCTGGTAACCAGAACAATGGATTTCATGCAGTTGTAGTGTAATTATGGTATACTGGTAACCAGAAAAATGAATTTTATGGAGTTGTAGTGTAATGATGGTATACTGGTAATCCAAAGGCAGGGTAGTAAATTGATGTCAATTGTCATGATATCACTTGGGAAAAAAATTGTCAAAGAAAATAATAAAATATTCATTATTGCGCAAATTAAGAGCTAAATTTGATCTATAAAAACAAATATCAAGAAATAACCTTTAAATTATTTCATACAGCTTTTGCCCAAAATAATAATCATGGGCTTGTTTTCTGCAGTACCTTAGCAAACAAGCATTTAATTAAATTAAAATAGTAGGACTGCATGGTCTAGTGTATGATTGCTAACCCAAAAGCCCTTAGCAGATGAGGCTTGTTAGCAGAGGACAGAAACCTATCTAATCTAGCTGAGAAAACTCCTAAATTAAACAACAGCTGCCATGCAGATTGTTCTTGGATGGATAAACACTACCAAAGCTAATTTAGAAGCAGGCTGAAGTCTGAGTCAATGGGCCATAACATAACAAGCTGACATAGAATACTTATTTGTGTCAGAGGATATCACCTTCAATATTACAATTAAGAAGGAAGAAGAAGAAATAAATATATATATAATATGTAAATTAAAATAATAAAATATATATTATAGAGACTAAAAAATTTTTTTTTTTAAATTTTCATTAAAAAATATCACCTATAACAATAAGCTTAATTTAAATTTTAAATCTTTATCGTTCTTATTGTACTGTTGCGCTGAATTTTTATCCAACACAAGTATTATGTATCAACGCATTAGACACTATATGGCCCTTTGACTCAAATTTCGGCCTACTACTCTTTCTTTCAGCTTCCATAGACACTGTCAATCCAAGAACAAACAACAAGGCAGCAGTTGGTTGATTTAGGGGTTTTCTCATCTGCCTGTGGGTTCCAACTTGGGACTTTTCGGTTAAGCAACCATGAGCTTTACCAGCCCAAACATGCCAAGCTCCGAATTTTAATTTATTCTTATCTAATAAGGATTTTATTTATATAACTTACATGAATGCACATTACTGGTAAATCAATGTAGTTGAGTAGCTCACTGTAAAAGCGAACAGCCATACAGGATGAGAGAAAGACCATGATTTTCTTCTTCTTGTTCTTCTTTAAAAATGTAAACAGCAGTAAAAATCTTTTATCTGGTTCACATACAACATAGCCCTAGAAGAAATAAGAAATAAAAGTTGCTGATTTACATACAATACAACCCTGGGAATATGAAAAATAAGTAGTCACATAATGAAATTTATTAATACCACAACAGCAGATTGCAAAAAAAAAAGAAAAAAAAAACTAAAATATTATGAAAAAAAAAACAACACACTTGTTCTAATCCTTCCACTGTGGCTTCATCTTTTTTATCATCTACACCCACATAAAAGGGTTCTTTCTTCAATGAAATCCTGGCCAAATCTTCTGTTTTTCTGGTTGGTGTGGCCGAGAACAACATGGTCTGTCTCTTTTCTGAAACCAAGGGGACAATTAGTTACCTGAGTGGGTAACAAGAGACTCCAATAACACCAGCTATCAACAACAACACTCGCATGTTAAGTCTAAATCATTTAAATACAGAGCATCTTTCATCAGGAAAATGTTAGGGCTCAGAAAAACTTACTAGGCAGGAGTTTTATGATTTGTTTCATTTCTTCTTCGAAACCCATGTCTAAAATTCTATCTGCCTCATCTATGATCAAACACTGGAGATTCTTGTATAAGAAGTCTTTAGTGTTCTGAAACATAAAAAGCTGGTTTGAATATCATTAACTTAACATACACAGAGTGTGAATGAGATGGAATCTATGGTGTACCTTAGTGTTAGAGAAATCAAGACAACTCTTTTTCATACTGTTGTATCAGTTATTGCTATTGGTTTTTAACCCATCTAGCACAAGATGGGTGGGTTAACAAAAAATTAAGTATTTTCAATAAAAACATGAGGTTGTAGATGGTTTATTGTGAGTAATGTATTCAAAGATTTTTAAACTACAAAGAACTAATTTTGTATTAACTGTTTTTTTTTTTATATTACTGTATTTTTAGCACCAAAAGATGAAGATTTTAAAATATCCAAGGTATGTTGGGAAACTGCACTGCAAATGTGATATTTGAATTGCTTATATTTTAGTATATGTGGCAAAGGGCATAGCTTTGGAGCAAAATATTAAAGTTTTATCTCAAAAACCTAAATGTGTACAAATTAATACTGAATGCTGAATTCTGACCTGTAAATGATCCAACAAGCGACCTGGAGTTGCAACCAAAATGTTGATGCCCTTAGAGAGTTTCTTTGCCTCGTCACCGCGGTTAGTTCCTCCCATAACTAGACCATATGTGTGGTGATGATACTTCAAGAGCTCTTTCAAGACACCAAAGGTCTGGAACAATACATGGCAATATTTTTATTTTGGTTAACAAATTATAAAATTTAACAGAAATTCAAGAACAAGCATGCTAAAAAACAATTTTAAAAGCCAAAAACTTACATCTTTAAACCTTTAGCTATATTTAAAAAAAAAAAATTTAAAAAGCTAAAAATATACGTTTATTTCTGTTTTCAAATGTAATATTTAATTTTTAGTAACTGCCAAACAATTATATTAATAAATATGTATAGGACATCTATCTGTAAGAACAATTGAAACCATAAAAGCTACTGATAAACAATTGAAAAATATTTTCAGCATAATTACCTGCATTGACAGCTCCCTTGTAGGGGATATCACAATAACACCAGTCCCATTACGAGGCATGAAGTGGCATTTGTATATCAACTCTATGGCGGGTATCAGGAAAGCTAAAGTTTTACCGCTGCCTGTCTTTGCTGCTCCCATCAAATCTCTGCCAAAGTACAAGAGTTACAGGGTACAAATCTAACTTTTAAATTTGATCTTAGAACCAAGAACACATGACCACAATAGTGGTTAGGTAAACAAATACATTTTTTAAAAATATATTCTCTCTCTTCTCGTAATCCTGTTCATGCCCAAGACACATGGGGCAGATGAAGTAGAGTTCATCTAATTCACTGAACTCAGCATATGAAGGGATAGTGTGTTCAGCACTATGCCCAGCAGCATTTGTTTCCCTTATGTTAGTTAGGTACCTATCAGAGCTGGGTGAACTCAGGGACGTTCCACTGGTTAGCAGTCTAGCTCTCTACCGCTAGGCCACGCAGTCCCACAAAAAAAAAATATATATTCTTATTGGTTAATATATTTCTAATAGCTGAAGCTGAACATCTGCCATCAGGTGCTAGAGCCTTGCCGTGGCAGCTTGTGTATCTCGACAACACCCAGAGCTATACCAGCGTGAGTGTAAACTCCTAGCAGGTTCAACCTTATTTCATAAAAAAAAAATCTCAATGAGATCCAGAGCTATACCAGCGTGAGTGTAAACTCCTAGCAGGTTCAACTTTATTTCAGAAAAGCTGCAACACAAACCTAAGCAGAAGGTTAAAAACTGGTGAAAGGGGAGTTATCTAAAATATGACAGATGTCTATGACATCTTGGGGAACTATGAAGAAAGTTGCCAGAGATCGGCAGAAGTGAAAAGAGCTTTATGTGGAAGTCCCATGTGTCTCAGGCACAGAAGGGGGAAAAAAGATGTGTTTTTTTTAAAAATTCAGATGCGTTCATACACAAAATGAGATACATTTGAACAAATATAAAAAATTTATATGAAAAAAAAAGGTACGATATGATTACCTCCCATCTAGTAGATAAGGAATGGACTTATGTTGAATCTCTGTCATGTGTGTGAAGCCCATGTCCGCCACACCTTTCAGTGTTTGTTCACTAACTTTATCAGCAAGTGATTCAAAGGATGTATCTATGATTGCTGGGGCAGTGTCGTTCTGAGGTGTTGAAATTCCATTTTCTTCTGTCGTATCTTCATTCATTGATTCTTCTTCTTCTTCATTCTCTGCGTTATCATCTTGGGCTAGAACAAAATTAGAATTTGCATTATTTAAATAACTCACAATTCCACTGTGTTTTATTTTTACTACAAAAAACTACACAGAAGTATTCTCTCCTTGTAATTTTCTTCATATAGATTAACCTTAACTAATAGCAGAGATCTCTAGAAAATGCTGGTTCGATCAATTAAAGAATCTAGTCTTTCCCATTCACACTTGATCAATCTACAACAACTATAATGAGAGATTGATCTAGTGTTACTCAAAACAAATTGCATATAAGATAGTGGAATAGTTTTAAACAATTGTCTTCACATTAAAACACACAAGTAGTTTTGATCTAAGTTTTTATAAAATAAACCTACCAGCGGTTGATTCACTTAAGAGAGCTTTTGCTGCTTCTAATTCAGCTTTTAACTTTCTTTTCCTTATTTTGAGCTTTTTCAATGCTGGATTAAAAAAAGAAATTGTTACAGTTTTAAATGGAAACATCTTGCAAACAAAGTCAAAATAAAAAAATTAATAAATGTAAAAATTAAACACTGCTGCTGGAAAATTCACGATATAGGAGAGACACATAGGTAAATAACATTGTAAGCTTCGAAAAATTGAATAGAAGTAGAAGCATGAGATAGGTCCGTACTGTTAACAGTATCGAGCCATATGTCATTTACAGCCTGTGACGATGTTTGGAATACATTTTTCTCATTCTCAGGTGACCAATTTTAATTGGATGACAGTTTTTAAAAGGAAAATAGATACAAATCTTGATAAAATATTTTAAACTCTGTTTGGACAAAGCTTTGTGAATATTGGGATGGTCCAAAGCCCAGTAATGAATAAGAGAGGAGGGTTAGATTGATTCTGAAATGTCATCTGAATCTTTTATAAACTACCCTAATTGAACATTGTTAAAATACTTCACTGGTGAATCAAAACTGAATACAATGTTTTATGAAAATCTTTTAAAAGTTTATATATTATTTTTATATTTGAAATGTGATATTTTTGTTTGTTTATTCATTATATTAAATAGGCCTACATAGCAAATCTACATTTATCCTTTCGATTATGTTTTTGTTGGCTCTTTGACTTCAAGCTTCCCACATTCCTAAATTTTAAATTTAATGAGAACTGCTATTATTATTTAAATGCGAGACTGTAAGTAAATTAATCCAATTAATTTAAACTGATTATTTTTTAGGTGAATCCAAAAATCAATAATAAATTTTACTAATCATGAAACTAAAACTTGCAATTTTTAAACACTAAAACATAATGTCCAACTTACAAATTTAAATTTTTTTACAGGCATTTGATTCATATTATGTTCAATATACATAACTTTTGTTGATTTATTATCTTTGTAACAATCATCAAGCAAAACTTTATATTTAAAGGATTGTGCATAGAACAAAATTAGTTAAGAATTTTAGACACATCTCTACCCCAAAATGTGTTATTCTAGTGGGTAAAATTGACAGTTAGTGTCCATGCGATATCCCTCTTTCAATATTTATTTTAAATAGTTTACAGTTTTACAGAGTGAAACTCTTTGCTAGATATACTATATAGACTATGAACCCTTAAAGCGCTACTGCTCGATCACACAGTACAGATAGTTTTGTTAGAAGATAGTAAAATAGTAATTTGATCCCATTGTGCATCTATAAAAGAATAAACTGAGTCCATTGAGCAGCTATTAATAGTATTTAATTTGAGCCCATTGCACAGCTATATAGATCATTGCGTTTTACATTTTCTGCCAGTCAGATATTGCTGGGGAGAAAAAGCTTTTTCCTAGCAGTCAGCTCATTTTTTTTAACCTGCGCCTACCTTCGACACCCTCCTAAGGTGTTGAAATAAAATGTTTAAACATAGTGTCAACATTGAATTGCAAAGAGAAAGCAAAATCGGGCAGTCCTAATATCTATTTTAAGATTGCGTTCGACCTGACCTAGATAAAAGATTTCTCTGCGCAATTAATTATTAATGCGGCCTTGAAAATTAATAGGCTACCTCTCAAAATCCAGAAGTCCAACATATCTGGACAAGTGGCAGTATATTTTAATAACATATGGCACATGATTTTTTAATGTTTTAATTTTAAGGGCCTTCAGATGTGATTTAAGATGAAAGCAGAAAATCCAGATTAAAAAATCTACTCACTACTTTTTTTAAAGTTCTAGAATTTAGATCTCGATCTAGATCTATAAACGGTAAAATCTTAGTTTAGCGTCGTAAATTCGGCCAAAACTAGTAATGTAGGAGAGAGTGAATTAATGAATATGTCATTAAATATGAGTATATTTTCGTATATTTTGATAAAGTATTATAGATAATTGAATAATAGAACACCATTTATGATTAAATCAATTTAAATATCCTGAAATTAATTTTTATCAACCCTGTTCGAGATAGTAAATTTGCTATTAAAAACAGCAGCCATCTTAAGAAAATGTTATTGAGAGTAGCTTCCCTTTCATTTCTATTCGTATGAAAATGTATTTAAATATGATCGTCTTGTTGTATAGTCCGTATTACAAAGCATTTTTTTTTTAATGTGAATTTTCTTAACAAACAACTTTATTAATTCTAGAAGCATTGTGAGATGCAACTTGTATCCATGTATTAAATCACGTTTTTTTACTAATGTTTATTTGATCTTACTATTACTATATAGTTTGAGTTTTTTCTTATTGTTTGAATGTTCACTATTTTCATTTCAGGTTTTTCTTTTCATCAATTAGTAATTCTATCGTAACTTATGACATTTTTTACTTCTCTTTACCTTAATTAAACCCCAACCTCCGTCATATTTTTGTCGTAAATGTCACAACAAATCATAATGTAAAAAATTACGCTTCACTCTGCCTTATCTAAGATCTCGATCTCTAACCATAATTTTGACAACATTAAATGTTTGTCTTAATTTATATATACAGAGAGACAAAATGTATTATCCACCAGCTTCCCTCGTAAAACATCATCAAAAATAATGAGCAAGTCCACCCCCAAGTGCGTGTTGTCAATTATGGTCGATCGCAAGTCTCCACCTGCCAGACACATTTTGGTTATCCTTTGTTGTCAAATTGTCAATACCAAGTACCCAAGTGAGTGATATGGGATTGTCCATAAATGTCACATATGATTTGCTACGGGAGTGAGTGAAGATTTGTGACGTCAACTCAGGCGGCTTTGCAATTTATGACGTGTCGGTCTCATGAAAGGAGGTGAACGGGGAAAAATACCTAGGTGGTTGATGGAGAACCTCTATAATGCTTTGTTAAATCAAAATAACGATAAATAAGCATTAGTATACGTATACCTTGCTTAAAACGAATCATCACAAATGTTGCAAGCCTGCTAGTTTAAGACATATGGCAAAACGGCCGCAACACATTATCCCCGTCAAAAAGGCTTGCCACCAAATGCCTGCCGACGAATAAGCCGCATCTAATGCGGGGCGTTAGGAATACGGCCATTAGCATGGGCCGCGTTAGAGCACTAGTAGACTATCGCGCTTTGTAAGATGACGTAAATACTTAAATTCAATTTCGCTAAACTGCGCGAAAATTTAGTAATGTTCGATCGTTTGAGGAAATTTATTTTCTTGGACTTAAAATTGAATATGTTGACTGTCTGGCTCTTAATTTCCGAATATCACTTTTAATGTATCAAGATTCAGAACTATAATTTACTTTAAGTGTCATCTTATCGTTTATTGTGCTTTTTATAAAGCGCAGAGCAGCTTCAAAATGGGACGGCCATCCTGTTTTCACCAAGCTTCTTTTGGAGCTTAATATGGGTAGTCTAGTTCTATACGGTGAGAGCTTAATACATTTTTAAAGGGCCGAAAGTCTTAAGACAGCAAGCTTGCAGAAATAACTACGTAGGTTTAAATGGACGAGTGTGATAGATGTGTTAGCAGTGTTTCTTCCAGACTTTTTTCTCGGGGGGGGGGGGGGGGGGGGGGGGGGGGGCGGACACTGTTAAAAGTATATATTTTCTATATAAATTATATAAATTTCATTTCGTTGGGGGGGGGGGGGGGGCGAAGAGATGCCTGGAAGAAACTCTGTGTGTTAGGGGCTGTTTAATGAACACCAACTTATGTAATCAAATTAAACGTCGCAAAAGCGTCAAAAAGGCAGTGCTTGTTGTTTTTTTTTTCTATAAAATTAGCCTAACGGTCGGCGGTACCGGTACATGACGTCACATGCGAGCGCTAACTCGGTGACGATGTGCTAAGTGGGGGAATGAAAAAGGTGGGTTTCAAGAAATGCGACTCGGCAAGCTTTTTACATTTCTTGACCCTTCTTAATAGTTCTATCATCCCCACTGAGAAAATGGATCACCAATGAATGACGCGTCATACTTCTACAGCTGGTTTTTCTCCAACAACCATCCAGTTTTCAAGAAAAAAACAACCTGACACGTCTCCAAAATCACATCGCTGAGTTCTACTCAACCTCTCCCCACCACAAATCACAATTTCTATCTAAAACAATGTTCATATGTTTGCTCTGTAATAATGCACGCTGTCATTACTATCTTAAGAGCGACGTCATTTATAAGCGATCTAATATTAATTTGCTTACTGCAAATAAAGTGTTCAAAAGTTCGACCTCCCAACAATTGTTGTGGTCTTGGGTGCACACTATTAAGTCTGAAAAGGTCTATTAGTCATTCATGTCAACTATATTAAAAAAAAAAGAAAAATTACTATACAGGGAGTCATCCATAAATGACGTCACGCTTTTTTTTTGACGATTTTTACCCCCAACCCCCTTTGTCACACGTCGTCACAAAAACCCAGACCCCCCCCTCCCTAAAATGACGTCACACCTCAGCCTACAACCCCCCTCAAAATTGCAATTGAATTGTTTTTAAACAGCTATATTTTTCCAAAATCTTGTCTGAACTCTGTCAAAATAGAGTATTTTAATCAATTGTTATTATGATGTATTAAAACAGTTTTCTAAAACGCAAAATAACGTCTAAAATTCGTTTTCTAACATTGCTTTTTTAAAATGCAAAAGTGTGACGTCGCACCATCTGAACCCCCCCCCCCTCATCACACAACGTCACAAAAATTACGGACCCCCCCCCTCCCCCCTATGAGTGGTGACGTCATTTATGGATGACCCCCAGGCATATATTAAAACAATACAAAACAATCATATTAAACCACAAAATCAACACAAAGACATGCGAATAGACAATTTATTGTTTTTTGAAAGATGGCCGCTGCTTGTATTTACTCATTGTTGTCTCGAACGGGGTAGTTGAAAGTTAATTCCAGGATATTTATGACTGGTTTGTCTTGGATTGTGATTTGTTATTCAATTATCTGTTATATTATGTAAAATATGACATAAATATGGCCAAATGAAAGAAATATTCATTAGTTACCTTCATCGCACATTACTAGCTACTAGTATTACTCGCTAACTTGGAGGCGTGGTCGGTTGCTAACAACAATATGGCGCCCGGACCGGACGCTTGACTTCCGAGGATTTTTCGGCCAAATTCCAGAGACCTTCTACTAATTAGTTTTTAAAATGTTTACCACGCGCAAAATGGCGGACTTTCACGTTATAACAACAAGCTATAGGTGGCAGGGCTATATATGCCAGAAAAGCATTTTAAAATTTGCGTTGAAGAATGAAGGCTAAATTTAAAAGTTGGTTTCATCAAAAATACTAGAACTTTTTAAATATCGATTTCCATATTACAAAATTGATTTCCATACTAAAGCATTATTAGTTTTATCAGTCTATGAAAAAATAAATCAAATATCGTCAACCGTTTTTTTTATGAGACCAGCCGAAAAAAATGACAACCAAATTTTTTTTTAAAAAAAAACCACGTGACCACTATTTGGTGATCACTAGTGAGGAACTCTTGTGTGCATGGCCACTTAAAAAGTCTAACTGATTTGTGGTTATCTTTAGCTTCAAGCTTAAGAAGAGTTGTCATGGAGAGATGTGTTGGACATGGCAGTGATTGACAATAAATATTAAATTATAAGATAATTTAGTTTTGAACTAAAAACTCCAAAGTTAGTGCCTAATGGATTAAATATGGATGTCTATTATTCAGTGGTCATTGTTAAATTGATAATTGCGTAAATTCTAGATTTAGTGAGAAAAACTACTAGATCTAGCTAGATCTACTAGCTACGTTGGAATTTACGACGCTAAACTAAGATTTTACCCTATAAACAATTTTCTAACAACAAATACCCAGTTTTTTGAGAGAAAATAGGTCCGCTCATTTGGTAGATCTGTTAATTCAAAATATATTACCTGCTCCTTCGACCGTTCCATTTAAAATTGCTGCCTTAATCTTTTTTAGCTCAAGTCGCATGTTTTTCATGGAGTCAGCCATGTTGAAACTATTGTTGTAGAGGTTACGCTAAGAAACGAAACATTTTAAAAACTAAATTTTGAAGCGTGTAGTCTAAATTTGGCGAGTCCAGTACTTTATTTTAGTATCTATGATTTTTAGATATTTCATTGTATAAAAAATCTGTTTCACTTATTGATGTTTCTAAAAAATAACAATGTTTCAATAGGTCATAAAATGTAATTTAATAATAATATAGGCTACTACTATATACTATATACTAATATACTTTATTCTGCAAATATTTCACTTCAAACGCCATAAGCCTTTTGAATAAAGTAACCTTTTTTAATACACTAAAAGCACCAAATGTGTGAACACCTTTATCTAATTTTAAGAGTACTGAAATTTTATATAAATATAGATCTATATTAAAATGTTTATTTCTTTTATCTATTTTTTCTATTATCATAAAGAGAATGGCGAATGGCGAAATGGTTAAGCAATATGATAATTATAAGTTGAAGGAGCTATCCACATCACTAAAAAATAATTTTAAAGTACATGTAGATCTACAAGTCGTTGCTATTTGATATTTCTCATAGTTTTGCTAAAGATTTTACTGGATTTTAAAAGTATCTAACTTTGTTGTCTGTTAGTCTTTTTAATCTATGTTTATTTTGAACAGTAACCTAAAATAACAGATGTTACCGCTAATTTACCTAGAAAAAAATAGCATAACATTATTTACAATATTCTTGGATTAACTCATAACTTTGCAAAAATAGGGGAGCAATCTGATGTAGTCCTGTATGTCTCTAAAGAGACACGAATTTTCATATTCAAGGTAGATAACAACGGTTGAG